TACTTACCAGAAATCGGCGTCGAATTGGTCGCCCCCGGCGGTTTTTCGAGGCGATTTTTTCCGCGACCGCTGCTTAGCCGAGAGTCGTCGAGTGAGAACGACTCTGATTGCCAAGTGTCACAGGATTGAATTCTCAATCGAAACTTGTCACTAAAACTGAATACAAGGCCTATTTATACTCGGAAAGTACAAGGATAAACGAGATAAAACGAACCTTCGGGAACACACCCTTCCCGATACTACAATCACAAGTGCGCATAAGCACGCAAGTCTCTTGGCACTTGGGATTACGCCCAGATTACACCGTATACACCACTGTCGGTGCTGTCGGTGCCGTATAATAGGTATGTCGGTGGGAAAAGTAGGAAATAAGAGGAATAAATAGAAGGCTCTAGAAAATAGAATAGTAGGCCGATTGAGATGAGATAAAGACCAAAATAAAGAGGAGAAAAGGGAGAATGGGATAACGGAAAAATATAAAAGTGAGAAAATATTATAACGGGGACGTCCTCTCACACCAGAGGAGAACTCTCCACCTCGGTCAGAGTGCAGACGCAGAACAGGAAAGTCCGAACCAAAGCTCCTCCTGAGCTGGAGACGAGCTGTGCGGATCCAGTCGATTTACACCTCAGTGACATCACCCTTGCTGCGCAAGGGGAAGACAGTTGTGTAACGCGAGTTGTCGTCAACCACCAGCAATAAGTAGCGCTCGTGACCCTGTCCACGGACGCGGGCCGGGCCCACACGTCCATGTGAAGCGTCTGCAGCGGGGCCTCTGTCGGGGGAAACTGGGAGGAGTGAGGGGCAGCCCGGAGCCGCCCCTCGACACAAGGGACACAGGAAGGTCCAGGCCCCGAAGGAAGGGGAGGGAGAGACCGAGGGAGACCAGAGACAAGGACACGGGAAGCCATGCCCCGTAGACGAGGCAAGGAGGGGTGTCCAAGACGATGGTGCCACAAGAGAGTCTCGTGAGACAGGAGGCGACACGAGCAGGGGGCAGACTCAGGACCAGACCGGGACGCAGCAGCAAACACCTGACCCGACGCAGCTACCTGGCCAGACGCAGGGACAGGAGGAGACTCAGTGGTCAGGGTGTAGAGGCTCAACCCCGGCCGACGCGAGAACGTGGCCAGGTGTCGGCCTGTGCGGGTGTCCGAGCAGTGGGTCACTCGCTAACTCGCAGGAATAAACTGGTGAACCCCCGCATCCTGCAGGTCAGCACCACTCACCAAGTTCGTCGAGAACGAGGGGAGGTACAGACCAGACAGGGTGCCCGAGGGGGCAGCCGGACACGGGAGGACAGTGGAGAAGTGAGAGAGGATAGGACCCCTAGAGGGGTCAGCCACGGAGACTGCAACCGGCCGACCAAGCGGCGTGAGTGTGGTGCTGTCTCGAAAGAAGGAGCGAGAAGGCCCTGAGACAAGTGTGAAGGTGAGGGAGGCCAAGGCCGACGCAGTACCTGAGAGCGCAGCCTCACCAGTACCTGAGAGCGCAGACGCACTGGCACCTAGAGCAGCAGCCTCACAAGCACCTAGCGCAGCAGTACCAATGCCCGGGTCGGGCGGGAAACACCGGTAACAGTCACCCTCCTCACTAATAGTCATAGCATACATGGCAGCAAGGATAGCATCAAAGTCAAGATCAAAGATAGCGACGCAAGCCCTAGACAGCTCTCCCCAGCGGGGAATCTCACTAGCCTCGGGGAACTGCTGACGCCAAGCGTCCGTTAGGCGGCCAAAGCAGCGCTGGGTGGGGTGGGCACCCCCACACTGCTCACCCGCGCGGTCGCCGGAACAAAGGACGTAGGAGCACGGACCAAAACCCCCACCCCGCTGACGCTGCGTGTACCACTCGCGGAGCTGCAGGGGCGGGGGGATGTCCCGCGAACGCTGGTGCTGCTGCTGCTGGCGCTGGCCACCACCAGAGCCTCTCCGCTGCGGGGCACCACCCCGACCAGCTCCACCCCCTCCGCCAGCGCCGCCTCCACCTCCGCCACCACCGCCGCCTCCGCTCCCACCGCTGCCGCCGCCACCGCCTCCTCCTCCGCTGCTGCCACCACCACCACCGCCCCCGCCACCACTCCCACCGCCACCCCCACTCACTCCGCCGCCTCCACCGCCACCTCCACCGCCCCCGCCAGCTCCACCCGCGCCCTTGCCCCCCTTGCCCTTGCCCGGGCGGCGTCTCCCGCTAGGGGCAGACGCCACGCCGACCGACTCTAGACCAAGCAGGTCGGCAGCATCAGCAGAGGCAACAGAGGGCAGCAGGGGGGAAGGAGAACACCCCTCAAAGATGGGGGTGCGAGGGTCACCACAAGAGGCTCCTACAGCGACGATGCTCTTCTCCGCCGCCAGGAGGGCCTTCTCGAGGAGGTCGACAGTGAGAGTGGTGGGACATACTGAGAGGAAGTGGTCCCTGACTACGCGAAGGGAGTCAGGGAGGCGTGTGACTATGTAGTAGAGAGCGATGTACATGGGGGGGGGGGTTCTTGGCGCAGAACTCAGCAGGAAGGGCGGCGCGGTAGCGAGTGTCACTAGTGCGGAGGCGCGTAATGAGGTCAGCGACAGTGGGAAAGGCAGTAAGATCAGGAAAGAGGTACGGTAGCATGAGGCGGCTAAGTGCAGCAGTGGCAGGGGAAGAGTAGCGCGCAACTACAGCTTCGTACAAGGTCTGAGCACTCTTGTACTGACTAAAGTGCGCGCGCTCAGTGGTAGGGAGGTGGCGACGCACAGCAAGACGTGCAGCAGCATTGCGGACGGCCCACTGAGAGCGAACAGTGGGGTCAGCATCAGCAGTAGGAGCAGGAGAGGCGCTTGAGGTGAGGTCAAAGAGAGAAAGACCGTCCGCCCTATCGCACTGTAAAAACAGCTGCAGGTCGTCGAGCCAGACCTCAAAGTCAATGGCTCGACCCTCAGCGTCAAAAGCGAGGACACTAGGGGTAGCCATGACGACAGACTAGCAGTGCAAGCAGTGGGGGAAGGGCACGCAGTAGCAGTGGGGCTGTGCTCACCAGACAGGGCAGGTCGGGTAGCTCGGCAGTAGGGCGGCTCGGCTGCGGGGCGGCTCGGCGGCCGGGCGGCTCGGCGGCTCGACGCCAGGGCGGCAGGGCGGCTCGGCGGCAGGCTGCTGGGCAGCTCGGCAGTACTGCGGCTCGGCGGCTCGGCGGCTCGGCTGCTGGGCGGCTCGGCTGCACAGCGGCTAGGCGGCTCGGCTCCTCCGGTACTCGGCGGCGCGGCGGTCGGCTGCTCGGGTGCACGCTGCAGGGTGGTGCAGTGGGCGGCGGCTCGGGTGGCGCGGCAGGAGAGGAGAGCGGCAGGGCCGCTATGGGAGGCGGCGGGGCCGTTCAAGCAGGGCGGCGGGGCCGCTAAGGAAGGGCGGCGGGGCCGCGAAGTGCAGGGCGGCGGGGCCGCGAAGTGCAGGGCGGCAGGGCCGCTGAAGCAGGTCGGCGGGGCCGCGTTAGCAGGGCGGCGGGGCCGCGTTAGCAGAGGGCGGCGGGGCCGCGTTAGCAGGGCGGCGTGGCCGCAAAGGAAAGGCGGCGGGGCCGCGAAGTGCAGGGCGGCGGGGCCGCTGAAGCAGGGCGGCGGGGCCGCGTTAGCAGGGCGGCGGGGCCGCGAAGGAAGGGCGGCGGGGCCGCGTAGCAGAGGGCGGCAGGGGCCGCAAAGTGCAGGGCGGCGGGGCCGCGAAGGAAGGGCGGCGGGGCCGCAAAGTGCAGGGCGGCGGGGCCGCGAAGTGCAGGGCGGCGGGGCCGCTGTAGCAGGGCGGCGGGGCCGCTTAGCAGAGGGCGGCGGGGCCGCTTAGCAGAGGGCGGCGGGGCCGCGTGAGCAGGGCGGCGGGGCCGCGAAGGAAGGGCGGCGGGGCCGCGAAGTGCAGGGCGGCGGGGCCGCTGTAGCAGGGCGGCGGGGCCGCTTAGCTGAGGGCGGCGGGGCCGCTTAGCAGAGAGCGGCGGGGCCGCGTGAGCAGGGCGGCGGGGCCGCGAAGGAAGGGCGGCGGGGCCGCGATAGCAGGGCGGCGGGGCCGCGAAGTGCAGGGCGGCGGGGCCGCTAAGGAAGGGCGGCGGGGCCGCGATAGCAGGGCGGCGGGGCCGCGAAGCGTAGGGCGGCAGGGCCGCTAGGGGAGAGAAGGCCGCTAGGGCGGCTCGGTGAGTGAATAGCCCGAGGCGCGACTCGGGATGAGTGCGCTTCGGGCAGTAAAAAAAAATCGAAGTGGTGGGCCCTAGGCGCAGTTCCCACAGGGGAACCTGCTCGATACCATGAGAAGAATTGAACGAGAATGGGAATGACTAAGTGAAAGTGTGGTACAAGTACAAACCCTAGAAAGCTGTACCCCATATGTGCTACCCCACTATAGCCTACAACAGCTATGTCATATATATCTGACACCACCGTCGCTCGTGCGATCACTTTGGCCTCGGCTTCAACATCCAACCCCGGATAGGCTTTAGCCAGAGCGGTAGACTCCAACGCCCGTGCGACGTTGTGCGCAACCTCCCCGAGGGGTTGCTGCCTGCTGATCGCGGCCTCCAGCACCGCCGTCATGACCTTCTTGAACTCGGCGGTGGTAGTCGCGCTCGCGCCGACCACCATCGCCGCCGCCTTCCCTTCGCGCACGGCATCAGCCACCTGGGCGCCGTCGCCCTCGACTAAGCACCACAGGGCGCAAGCGGAGGCCGATAGCGCCTGTGCGACCTTCGCCGTCGTCTGATCCGTGTCGCCCTCCTTTCTCGCCGCGGATGCAGCAACCTTCCCATACGCAGCGCACAAGGACACGCGATCAATCATGGCCGACATCATTGCATCCGACTTCTACTTCCCTTCCTTCGTGTCGGCATCGACGGGGAACCAGATCGCGGGCAAAAGCGCGTCGTGGTGCGCATCGCGTGATGTCTTGTACGCTCGATACTTCCCGAGGATATCATCGAACCTGTCATGCAATCACACGAAACTGGACGACCATTAGGAACGCCGACGTCGACATCATCGCTTGGCCGACGTTTATCCGACTTACCGTGTCTTTGGGAGGAACCCGCCCCGTGCCCATATCACCGTCCACATCCCAGTTGGCAAGAACCGGACCTCCTCCCACATCGCCCTCCACTGCTTCATCACTGTTTCCTCCAAGCCGGTGAGCTTGGCCATGAGGATCTTGCTGACGTAACCGTCGTAGAGGAGGTACACAATCGAGTGAAGGTAAGCCAGCTCCATCTTCTCGCGGGACTTGCCGATGTATCTACTCTCGTTCCCGACCACCTTAATCTCGCCCACCCACCCTTGCTTGTCGCCCGTGGTGTCGTGGCGGATGCCATGACCCTTCCGTTCTTTCACCTTCACCTTCTCCTCCTCCGTCGCCGCCTCCTCCACCTCCACCTCCGCCTCCTCCACCGCCTCCTCCTCCTTCTCCTCCTCCTCCTCCTTCTCTTTGTCCTCCTCCTCCTCATTCTCCTTCTTGTCCTCCTCCTCCTTCTCCTTCTCCTTCTCCTTCTTCTCCTCCTCCTCCTCCTCCTCCTCCTCCTCCTCCTCCTCCTCCTCCTCCTCCTCCTCCTCCTCCTCCTCCTCCTCCTTCTCCTTCTCCTTCTTCTCCTTCTCCTTCTCCTTCCCGTTCTCCGCCGCCTTCTCCTTCACCATTGCCGTCGCCATCCCCTGTCCTTTCTCCACCGACTTCACCATCGCCGACGTCGCCCGTGTTTTCTTCTGCGAGCTCGGCCTCGCTTTCCCTGCGTCGACCGTCCCCTTCCGTTTCGACTTTCCCGCGCCGACCGTAGCAGTGGTCGTCCTTGGCTCCGCTGTACATGCGGTGGGACTCGACGAGTGCGCCAGATGCGCCGAGTCCGAGATGGCCAGTACAGGGGGCTGCATGGGGCAGTTTACCGCTTCCAATAGGTACTGGATGGCAGCGATATCGGCGTCGTTGTGGTCCTTCGCCGCTTGTGCAGGGTCAACTGATCCGCCGCTCGTGGCTAGCGCTGCACTCACGCCCTTCTCCGCCACCGCCTTGACAGTAGCCGCACCGAGTGTGGGTGCAGCTACGGTTACCGACGTCGGCGTCGGGCTTGAGCTGGATATCGGCTGAGCCCGTGCTGGCGCTGCCGCAGTACGTGCGCCTAACCGGGCGCGAAGCAACGCGGACTTTGGGTCCACAGGAGGACGGGCGGCGATGATTAGCGCGGTAGGTGGGGCACTGGACGTTGTGGCGGCGACCTGCGGAGTGACCAAGCGACGTGCTGTTGTGGCCGGCGCGGAACCGACCACGGGAGGCTGCTGCACGTCCTGTCTATGGGTCTCCATGCGGCAGAGCATTTCCCTGAGCACGTTCGCCTTTGGGGCGGACGGATCAGCGCGGTTAGCCGCAGCATCCACCGCGTCAACCTTGGCGGCAGACGTGCCTGCTGGTGCTGGAGTAGCGGCAAGGGACGGCCCATCGTTGTTGGCGGCTGTCGGGGCGACCGGCGCGCTGCTAGCCGCAGGGGGTTTGCGGGGAATCAACATGGTCCCCGCCACTCCGCCAGACGGTCCCTTGACGGTTTTGGCGCCGCCATCTATCGCCGTTGGTGCGGTCGCTAGACTCGCCGGCTTCTTGGCGACCAATGGCGGGGGTGTTGGTTCAGCCTCTTGAGTGACAACCTGGTCGGCAGGGCCCCCCTCCGCACTCGTGATTCCATCGCCCTTGCTATGCGTCCTTATCACCTTGGCCCCGTTCTTCTTGACCTGGTCGACCACGCTCGTACCTCCGCTCCCATCGGCTCCCTTGCTCCGCGAGCCGCGTGGACCCACCTCGCCGACGCCGCGGCTCCCATCGGCTCCCTTGCTCCGCTTCGAGCTCAACGCATCATCTCCGCCACCTGCCCTTTTCGCACCCTTCTTGTCAGCCTCGTTGGCCGACGGCAACGACCCAAGCTGACCAGGTGCCAGATTGCCGATCACCCCGGTCATGAGGTTTAACCCGGACGCAACAAATGACTGTTGGGTGGCCTCAGTCACCGCCTTCAACACGTCCGCCTTGAAAGACTTCATGAGCTCGTCCGGGAAGGTTGGCAGTGAGGCGGGCGACGTGGGCGGCGGCACGGCGACGCGTTGAGTTACCGCGGCGATGATGTTGGTCTGCGCGGCAACTAGGTGCTTCGATATGTATTCCTCCAATCCCTTCCTCGCTTCGTCCACGTGGTTGCCCATGGCGACGACCGCGTTCGCACGTTGCACCGCCATAAACCCCTCCGGATTCTCTAGATCGTCCAACCAGCACTCCGCCCTCTCGGCGTACGCCTTCATCGCATCCCATGCTTCACCCATGTTGGCGGTGATGTTCTCCGTGACGGTCGTCGCCATGGTCAAGGACGCGTCCATCAGCCGACTCGCCGCGTCCTGGTCGGAGGCGGCGACCTGGTCGGCCAACGACCTGAGCTTGTCCACGAGGCGGCCAATCCCCATCGCAAACCTGTCCACCCGACCCCTCTCCACTCCGAGCGCCGTCTCGAGACGAGCATTTTCAGCCCTCAGCCACCTGTTCTCCTGTCGCAGCTGCACGACGACGGCCGGCGTTGCCTACCGACGACGGCCGGCGTTGCCTCCTGAGGAACCCGGTTGACGGCCCGCCTCTACCGCTCCACCCCGACGTTCCACCCCTGCGTTCCTTGTGGTGGTCTCCACGCCCGTCGGCGTCGGGGCCGCGGCGTTATCCTCCTCCTTTGCGTCGCCAACCACATTGCCGACCACGTGCGCCTCCTCCACGCCGACATTCTCCACATTGGCACCCTCCCCTCGCACGTACACAACATCCGCCGACATCCCACCCGTTCCCTCCTCGGCCGCCGCCGCTCCCTCCACGGCCACCGCCCCCGCTCCCTCAACATCCTCCATCTTGAATTCGACCCAGGGGAACTCTACCTCCTCCTCCCCCTCTTGCTGCTTCTCCCCCTCCGCCACCTGCTCCACCGACCCGAAACCCTGCTCCACGGCCTCTGCCGCCACCGCCGCCTTGTCCTCCTCCTCCTCCTCCTCCTCCTCCTCATCCTCCTCCTCCTCCTCCTCCTCCTCCTCCTCCTCCTCCTCCTCCTCCTCCTCCTCTTCCTCCTCCTGCCCATGCCCCTGCTCACGCTTCTCACGATCCTCCTTGTTATCATCCTGATGGTCGGTGTCATCCTCCTCCTCCTCCTTTTCCTGATCCGCGGTCCTCGCCACAGCCCTTTCTGCCTCCTCATCTGCCTTGTCGACGCCGTCTCCGGCCTCTCCGCTGGTGCCGGCGACATCGACTGCTTGGGATGCCGAAGGGGGCTCCGCGGCGTCGTCGTCACAGGAGTCGGCAGCAACTTCGACATGGCCTGACCGTTTGCGTGCGACGTGTTCCTTGATGAATGTGATCATCCGAATCCGCAGCTCCTTCAACCCCGAAACGAGGACCTTGTCCATGCTGGTCGCACTGCGAAGGTCGTTGCCGGTCAGGCGATCCATCCTCTTCACCACCCAGCACAGCGCGCTCATTGATAGGAGGCTAGAGCCCGCGTCGCTGCCCCGGACGGTGTCGCGCACTTTCTGCAAACAACATAGCAGAGAGCAAGGATGAGCATCGACGGCGGCAATGGCATCGCGCTAGGACGGTAAAACGATCGGTACTCACATCTCGAACGGGTTCATCGCAGTCGGCGAGCCTGTCCGCCACCTCTTCAGCAGAAGGCTTCGGCCACTCCCACTGCCGGCCATCACGGCCGAGCTCGGCCAGCCCCGCCGCCCGGAAAAACCTGAAGCAACATGGCACATATCGTCAGTAGACTTGCTTAACGCCCAGCGGGGAAATTGCATGCGTCGTCGACTACACTATCGAGCTCACTTTAGCATGCGGATCGCCTCGTCGCGGTGCCACTGCTTCACGGTTTGCGGGTCAAAGTGCCGGACCGAGGTCCTGATCGTCTCCCCCCCGGCCCGCAACAAGTCGCCGGGGTACAGGATGACCACGACGCTGCAATGTGCTCTTGGAAGCGGTGCGATGCTGCACAGGCTAGACACCACGACGTCGATCAGAACGGAGCAGCGACATAGGCATCATGGCACACCATCATGACTTAGGCTCACCTCGAATGTAGGGGGATAACAGCTACGTCGGCGTCGAACACTGTAGCAAAGCATGAGTGGTCTTCCTTGCCCATCGCCGCCCAAACCCGGTCGAGTCCTATCGACCACAATCGCATGTTGGCCGACGCCGCACGAATCCATGCGTGCCTGCACGCATGCATGGGTAGTAGATGTGTGTGAGGACGTGCAAGGCACGACGGATGGACACGTGGGTTCTGGAACCGACAACTGACGGGGATGGCGATAGTAGAACGGTGCACCACCGTCGCTACGTTGTAAGCAATGGCGCCTACCGATGCGGGCACCGACCTACTGTAGTGATCGGAGTCCGGTGCCGACCTACGGCTGTGTGCGTCACCGACCTACTGTAGTGATCGGAGTCCGGCACCGACCTACTATAGTGATCTAAACCCTAAACTAGTAGCGCCGACCAAAACGTGGGACAACCCTAACAACGTCGACCTGCAAGGTATCCAGCGGTCGACGTCGACATCCCATTACGGACACTCACTTGAGGCCGAATCCCAAGCAACGGGCGTTGAACTCTAGCCTATGGTCTACGAGGACGGCGTAGTCGTGTTCATCGAGCTTGGCAGTGAGTCCACTACCCAGGTCGAGATACAGAGGGAAGTCGTGCGAAGTCGTCGTCACTTCGCCGACTTTCGGGCCGGCCGACATGGCGGGGAAGGGAAGCGGCTACAGGCTAAGGGACGTGAATGTGGGAGAAGGCGCAGAGCTGGGGAAAAGGTGGAAAGGGAAACGAGATGCCGAAAATGAGGAGCGATGCCCCCTTCCACCAAGAAAAGGGGGTCGGTGCCCCACAGGAACGGTCGAGGCATCGCCCGGCCCTCGTGGTGCCTGCCTCGGCAAGGTTTGGCGGGCTCGTGCTCAAGTGGCACAAGTTCTCATATGCCGCCGAGCCAGCAAGTCGATGTCACATCCCAAAGCGAAAAATGTGCGCCGCGAAGCGATCGAAATCGAATTCGCAATGTCCCAAATTGAATTCGCAATGTCCCAAATTCTGCATGTTGCCCGATGCGAAGTAGGCGGGCGAACACGTGACGTCACCGCAACGGGTCGCGAAGTTGTCGAGTGTCCCGAGGGGGCCCCGAATTTTCGCCTGGCCCTCGCCTGCCCGTCCGGGCAGGCCGCAATGGGTTACTAGGACCTCGCGGGCAGGTGGCACGTGTGGGCTGCCTTCGCGCGAGGGTAATTTCCCACGCGCGAGCTGTCGCCAGTTCGCCGACCCCACCCGGTAACGTGGGCCGCTGTTCACATTCGGAGCGGGGCTGCGGGGCGGCGGTCGTGCGCTCGGCCCAGCCTTGGGCCAGGCTGGCGGGCCCACACGCGCGTTAGTGCTCCGCCCCGTCAGCCCAGGCTTTGACGACCCCCCTCAACGACACTGGCAAATCGGCTCCGTCGACCGAATTCGGCTGGGGTGTTCGGATGGGAAGGGATGTGGTGGTGCGGCAAGCTCCAGTGGCGCTGCGTGAAATAAACCTATCACTTACATTAGACGTACTAACCAGTTGGGTAGTGTACAAAATCTATACGTATTACAAGTAATGACACATAAAACGGAGGTGCAAAGAATCCCCCATCCCTAGTGCCAAGTCAATATAGTCTGCAGTCAGTAGAAACTAGTCATATAGGAGAAAAAAAACATGCATACGACCTGGTAGTTGTGCATTAGCACGCGTAACGTAGTGCCTAGTAAGAAAGTGTCACCGGGACTGCTACGACATAAGTTCCAGCAAGAAAACAAGCGCAAGCAGTCATCGTGCATGAACACTCGCCCGCTTCACAGGGTTGAGGGTCGAATTTCAAACCATGCTAGTTGCCTGTGTCGTGGCATGCTTAAGCCCATACAAGTAAAATCACACATGAGGAACCGGTATGCTCACATTGCTGCCAACCAATCAAGAACAAAACAGGGCATGTGCACTGCACAAGCATCTTGAACGTAGCATCAATTGCCAATAATGATTGCCAATGTCACACACTATCAATCCGATCATGCTTCAGGATTGGGCATGCGCACATGTGCGAGAACCTTGGCCAATAGCGAACCATCAGCTATCAACAATAGCTGCCTAACCACAAACTAATGGTCCCATCATGCTTCAGGAATGGGCATGCACACATGTGCGAGAACCTTGGCCAATAGCGAAGCATCAACAAAGAACCGGGTAGCTAAGGAGTCAATGCCGGCACCCACAGGGCCGCCGCTGCTGCTGCTGCGGCTGCTGCGGCTGGTGCTGCTGCTGTCACCACCGCCCCTGCTGCTGTCCCCACTGCCCCTGCTGCTATCCCCACTGTTCTGTGCATGTAGAGCGAGCAATTCCTTCAGCTGAACCAGAGTAACTCTCCCAGACAAAGGCTTGTCACCTTGAGCATCCCCTCTAGTCTGAAGGAGGGGAGTGTGGGGGAGGGGAGTGCATGTAGAGCGAGCAATTCCTTCAGCTGAACCAGAGTTATTCTCCCAGACAAAGGCTTGTCACCTTGAGCATTCCCTCTAGTCTGAAGGAGGATTATGGAGGGTAGTGGAGAGGAATGCGAGGAAGGAAGTGTGAGGGAAAGCGATTCACCCAAAGTGCTCGCACCCACCTGCACCTTTCAATCCACCTTCCTGCCCTGTCCCATCCCAAGGCGTTCCAACCCACCTTCTCTCTCCCCAAAGTGCCGATTCGCTGCTCCCTTATCGGCCCAAGCACCCCCTGCATTCGCCCTGGTTCCCACACATGCTCACACCCACCACCTGCACCTTTCAACTCACCTTCCTGCCCTGTCCCAAGGCGTTCCTATCCACCCGCCCTCTCCCCACCCCACGGTGCCAGCCGATTCGATGCTCCCTTATTCCCCCTACCACCTTCTGCTGCTGCATCGCCTCCCCCACATGCACACATACGCCCCGCCTTTCCACCCAACCCCTTTCCACCCAACCCCTTTCCCCTCTTCTTAGGTGCTCCAACCCACCTGCTCTCTCTCCCTTATCGCCCCAAACACCTCCTGCATTTACCCTAGGTCCCATGCCCATCCCCCTCAACCCACCTGCACCCATCTGCCTGGACTGTCAAATCAACCCACCTGCTCTCGCCCCACGATGTCAATTCGGTGCTCCCGTATCGCCCCAAACACCTTCTGCATTTGCCCCTTTCTCCTGCAAGAATCCCCTCTTCAACGCACCTGCACCCACCTGCACCCACCTGCACCTACTTGCACTCACCTGCACCTACTTGCACCCACCTGCACCTACTTGCACCCACCTGCTCTCTCCCCACAGTGTCGATTCGGTGCTCTCTAATCGCCCCAAACACCTCCAGCATTCGCCCTGGCTCCCGCACCCATGCCCCTTCGTCCCCCTCCCCTGCTGCCCTCCCCCCCTGTACGGGTACAGGATCGCCTGGCTCTATGATGGGCACTGGAGGGAAGGCGGAACGGGGGGATGATACAAGGGAGACACAGATTAGCGCCCATTCCCCCAGCTACATCCCCCTCGCTGCTGTTGCCCTCCCCCCCTGTGCTGGTACAGTACAGGTTCGCCAGGCCCTATGATGGGCACTGTGGGAGAGGAGGATGGGAAAAGGGAGGAGTGAGCGAAAAACAGAAAACTGAGACGTTTCCGTGATCACCCATCGCTCTCCCCTCCTGCCCCTCCTCCCCTGTGCGGGTACAGGATCGCCTGGCTCAATGATGGGCACTGAGGGGGGGAGGGGCGGGGGCGGGGGAAGGGGGGGACGAGACACTGGATCGCCTCCTGCAGTCGCCCCTGCTGCCCCCCCCCCCCTGTGCCGGTACAGGTTCGCCTGGCTCAATGATGGGCACTGTGGGAAAGGAGGGGGGGGGGGGTGGGGTGAAAGAGAGTCGTGTTCTTGATCCCCCCAATCCAAGCACCTCCTGCATTCGCCCTGCGTCACCCGCCCATGCTCGCTCCCACATCCACCTCCCTGCTCTCGCTCTCCCCTCTGCCCTCCCCCCCTGTCCACTTACCGATAATGGGCACTGCGGGGCAGGAGAGAGGGAAAAGGGGGGGGAATGGGGGGTGTGGAAGACGAAGGGAGGGAAGCAGGGAAAGGGAAACAGAGTGAGAGAGGGAAGGAGAAAACAACCCACACCCCCACATCCCCCTCCCTGCTCTCACCTTCTCCTTGCTTCCCTGTCCTGGGGAGTGGACAGAGTCGGGGGAGTGGGGTGGGTGGGTGGGCGGCGAAGGGAGCATCGGCGGAAAGAAAACGCTGCGTGGAGGAAGCATCGAGTTCATTTCGTTGTGGAAGAACTTAGAGCAGCCCACGTGTGATGCTGCGGATTTGCAGGGAGTTTTTTTAGATTTCTCAAAAACTCCCTGCAACGCTGCGCGGAGGAACGGCATCGAGTTCTTTTCGTCGTGGAGGAACCTAGAGCAGCCCACGTGCGACTTTTGAGTCGACTCAAAGGAAGCATCGAGTTCATATCGGCGTGGAGGAACCTAGAGCAGCCCACGTGTGATGCTGCGGATTTGAATGCGCCTAGAAAACAGCGCGTCGGATGGAAAAACGGCTCTAAAATGACCTGTGAGTGTTCAGTAGCCTGATACACAGGGTAAAACTAGTCTCTGAACGTACTGGCTTCAGGTGGCGGCGGGCGCGACGGATAGTCCGACGACGGCCGCGGAGGTCCCGCCGGTCCTGCGGAGAACTGCCGATCCAAGGACGCGACTGGCGACTCTTGCCGCGTCGCGGAAACTAAAGGGACCGAAGCGGTCGCGCGGATCGCGCAGGAGCAGCGCAGGCGGAGGTGAAGGTTCGGAAGGACGACTGTCGATAGTCGCCTTCTGCTCGCGCAGGACGCCATGCGGCCACGTCGCCGAGGCAGTTTTGAGGCTCCTACGGATTCTATGGACGCTGCTAATGCCGCAAAGAGAGTAATTTGAGGAGAGCAGGGTAGAAAAGGCGAAACTGAGATACAAAGTTATTTATGAGTCCATGGCGTAAATGGCTTGCGGGGAGAATTGGAAAATGGATTCAAATCTGGCACTCTTGGTACTTTTGCGACACACAAACAAATCATGCGAAATAACGACAATCTGGCGAACATCGACGAAGACGCATGTGCTTCTGAATCAGGAAACCAAAACCTTGGTAGCAGGTTTCTGGAGGTTCGAAGAAAACTTCGACGCTGCTGATTGGTTCCCATGTTGGTTTGCGGTGGTTCGCAGACCAATTACTTTCTCCGCCCAGCCTGTCGCCCCATACCGCCAGCCTCCCGAACCAACAAATCCCCTCCCCCGCCTCTCTACTTCTCCCCCCACCTTCTTCCCCTTCAGCTTTCCCCCCCGCCTTCTCCCCCTTCCCCCCAAAATTCCCCAGCCTTCCCCCGAGCGTGGCGGAGTTCCTGTGATTCAGTTTTCCTCCTGCTGGCAACCATTCCTTGCTAGACACCATTCTTTGCCAGGAGAGCCTGCTAGAGATCCCGTAACCCTAAGTTCCTGCTAGATTTCCTAGCTTCCAAAATCACGCTTTAGAGCGCTTCTCGTGTCCCGAGCACCTCACCATGACGGTCGCGCCCTTTAGCAAGGTCGGCCCGCCGATCTTCTCGGCTCTCGCGCTGTCCTACGGCATCTGGCTTGCCGCTCGCGCGCAGCCTTTCGGCGGAGAGACCCCGCGGACCATGACGCGGGAGTGGATCCAAGCCAGCGACAAGCTGCTTGACGCGTGGCCGCGGGAGGCCGGTTCTCCCGTCGTCATGAACCCCATCTCCAGGCAGAATGCTATCAAGAACTGAAGAAGCGGTTTTTACGGGAAGCTTCGCTTCGTGTCTTGCTGATCGACGGTAGCGACTGGTTGTTCGGCTTTCTGAAGTTCGGTCGTACCGATGTCTAGTTGTAAATGGTTATTAGCTTTCGCCATCTGTTGTGTGATTCGAGGCAGCATTGTTTCTTCATTAAGGCACTTGACTTGGAATCGTTTGACGCCTGGCCTGGCATCCGCTTTGTCGATCATGATCTGATCTCATCTCATGGACATTACTTTTCTTCCTTACTGGTGCAACAATGTTGGTGTAGCCTCCCATATTGGACTCACTCTGGTTTGATTTGCTCACACTCAATGCTCCAATCCTGCCAGCTGCGTGAGTCATGTATATTTCAAGGTGCTATGCATACCTGGAGTGTCCATGTCTGTCAACTGTGTGTGTCAAAGCTTCGCCTTTGTGGTGGGATCATTGAAAGCGTGCAAGCTCGTAGAACTGCTTTGTGAGGGGTATTTGAGTCATTTGCAACATACATCAATTTACGTTCGCTATGCCACACACGAATCGTGTTATTGCAAGTATCCCGCTCCTATGTAGCACAAGAATCACGTTATTGCCAATATCCGAGAACGCGTTATCGGGTTCCCCAACAATCGAAACTCACAGAACTCCCTCGTCGTCACTGCGGCAACACCGAGAGGAAATGGCAATTTCAGCTGAATAATCAGCTGAAACACACCAAACCGCTCTCAACCTAGCGGAGAGTTTCAAACTTCAGCTTCGTCTCTGGACATTGTCGCGTCACCTTCACTCTTTCTGATTCTGCTGGTGCCATCTCTCGCACTCCATTCACAACTCCTCACTGATAACTCAGCCAGTTTTCCAAAACCTCCTCATGCGTGCGAGTAAACCCAGCATAGGTTCGGTCGCGGTTCCATACAGTGATTTGGCTTGTAGAGCAATTGAGTTTATATGGAGCGGAAACCAACTTTCGGGATGCACCCTTACTTCGCTCGTCACTGTCTTTCATAGCAGCCGCTACGCCACGGTCTCGCTGCGCTTCTTCTTCTCGAGATCCTCTGCGTAGCCCGTTGCAAGTTACTCGGTTTTTTCGCAGTAAAAGCAGCCAACACGGTAGTGCCAGCTGGCATTGCCTCTAGACCGCCATGGCCCGGACTGTAGCTCGATCCGCCAGCACGACAACCTCCATGGAGTGGAAAACGCGTAAGCCGAGGCAAAAGCGTGCGAGAAAGAGTTGTAGCTCTCAAGGGAACGCCTCGTCACCGCCAACTCCGGTTTCTCCTGACGACCGTTTGGACGTCTCGCTGACTCCGTCAGCAAACGGCGATGCGAAGTCAAACTCGCTGAGACGCGACGCGAATGTCGGCGAGGAGGGATCGCCACTCCGCGATGTAACTTCTCACAATCCTGCCGTTATGAGGAAGGACCAGTGCGATAGCCCGAGCATTCGAAAGACTGAGGCTAGTAATTCTCCTGTTCCTTCATCAACATTATCAGGTCGCGTTCCTGTACCGCAATGTGACAATACTCCGAGAAGGAGGCCGCGTACCGTGGGTGACCTGAGACGGCTGCGACAACTGTCTTCATCCCCGTTATTGCCTTCCCCAGCATCAGCTTCAACACCAGCAACAGGTGCAGCAGTGTCAGCTGCAGCACCTACGCCCGAGGCCAGAATCACACCAGAAGGGCTCTCTAGAGCATCAAGACCAACAGCTAGGGTTTCGCTTGGACAGCTGTCCCAAACGAAGATCACTGCTGGAAATGAGTCTCTGGTTTTTGTAACGTCTCAAAAAGCATCAGGACCAACAGGTAGGGTTTCACTTGGACGGCTGTCCCAAACAAAGACCACTGTTGTCAATGAGCCTCCGCTCTTGGCTCCTGTGAGTCCGGTGAATCCGTTTTCAAGCAGTGGCCGCAGCAACGAGGTTGTTCCAGACAGTGACGAGGATGCTATTAGCGAGGATATTGGTGGTGGAAATCGAGGTGCTTCGGTGCGCAACGGTACTGGCAGTGCTTTTCGTAGTGGGAAGGGTGGAAAAGGGAGTCAGTCTGGTGACTGTGATAATGGTGAAGGGGAGGGTGGAGGCGAGGGTTGTGACAGTAAGGGGGCTGTGGATATGAGGACATTTTTGGACGGTTTCAACCTGAGCGGCGAAGCAGAATCAGCGTGGCAAATGGAAAGCAGTCCTGTAAAAGAGGAGGCAGAAAAGTCAACTGACGGATTGCCAGCAACTGAGAGATCTCCAGCAGCTGACGGATCTCCAGCAACTGACGGATCTCCAGCAGCTGACGGGTCTCCAGCAACTGACGGATCTCCAGCAACTGACGGATCTCCAGCAGCTGACGGACCTCCAGCAACTGACAGGCCAACAGCAACTGACGGATCTCCAGCATCTGAAATGCCCCTGGAAGTAACTCCTGCTGCTGAAGCTCCCAGCAACTCTCAACATGCTAATACCCGTCTGATGAAATCTAGAAAGAAGCAGAGGAGCAATTCTGGGAAGAATACGAGCAGGAGGGTGGAGATGGAAGGGACAGGTGGGAGCACACGTGGTGCAGCAGAAGCAATTGCGGGTAATGAGGCGACTTTCGAGGCGCCTCAAAGGAAGAATACGAGCAGGAGGGTGGAGATGGAAGGGACAGATGGGAGCACACGTGGTGCAGCAGAAGCAGTGCGGAGCAGAAGCACATTCACAACAAGCCCTCAGCCGAAGCGTCACAAAGGCGCGAGGGCGAGTGGCCTTGGTGATGCTGCTGGCGTAGAGGCAGCAGGTTCGATTTCACCCCGAGCCACAGCTATTGCAGGAGGAGCAGCAGCCGGAGAAGGCACGGTAGAATGCAGTACGCCTAAGAGCAGTAAAACGCGCAGAGGCAGCAGTTCATTCAAAGGCAGTTCGCGAAAAGGCACTACGCTCAAAGGCTACTCCCCTCTGGCCCTAGTCACGAGCAGCCCTCGTTCCACGCCTTCGTTTCTATCACCACCCCTTCCATTGTCACCCCTGCCACTGTCACTCCCGGCTGCTCGTTCGGATTCCACTCACAAGCCCCCATTATTGTCACACCGGATGTTGTCACTGCCTACAAGTTTTAACGAAGGGGACGGGGTGCCACCTTTGCTGCCAAATCCGTCATTGTCACACCCGGCTGTTCCTTCTGATTCTCCACACATGCCACCGTTATTGTCACACCCCCGAGGTGAGGGGGAGGGAGAGGATAAGAGAGAGGACGTGGGAGAGGAGGAGAGGGAGGAGGGAGGAGGAACGGTGGGAGCGAAGGGGATGGAGCGTAGCAGAGAGGATGTGAGAGAGAAGGGAGAGGAGGGGAGAGAGTATGGGAGAGAGGAGGGCAGAGAGGAGGGGAGAGAAGAGGGAAGCGAGGAGAGGAGAGACGAAAGGGGAGAGGAGGGGAGAGAGAAGAATGAGGAGGAGATAGGTCAGGAAGGTGCTGCAATGTTAGAGGAGGGGGGTGATATGGGGGGACGAGAGGGAGCCGGAAGGCATATACATGTGGAAGGTGGGAAAGATGAGGAAGTTGGGAAAGATGTGAAGATGTGGGTGGACGGTGCAGCAATCACAGAGGAAGGGTGTGATATGAGGGGGAGAGGGGTAGGAGGAAGGCGTATGCATATGGAAGGTGGGAATGGTGAGGAAGGTGGAAAAGATGAAGAAAATGGGAAAGATAGGATAGATGTGTGTGTGAGAGGGGGCGGTGGTGTGTACATAGAAGTGCATCATCCACTGCCAGTGCTGGCTGTGCACGTGTGGGCGGATAACAACCCCTCTAACGGCCCTTCCTGGGGCAGCGGGCCCTCATCAGAGGTGCATGCAGATGCGCAATTGGGTGGTGCGCTGCAGTCGGATTCAGCATTTGGAAGCCCGCGTGTAGATGGAGGAAGAGGAGGAGGAGGAGGAGGAGGAGGAGGAGGAGGAGGAGGAGGAGGAGGAGGAGGAGGAGGAGGAGGAGGAGGAGGAGGAGGAGGAGGAGGAGGAGGAGGAGGAGGAGGAGGAGAAGGAGGAGGAACGCGCATCGCAGTGTGTTTGGGGAAGGAGGAGGAGGAGGAGGAGCGGAAGGTAGTGGTGTATGAAGTAACGAGCACTGGGAGGAGTGGTGTAGAAGGCTGTGATGTGGGAAGGAGTGGTTTGGCAGGGAGCGGTGTGGCAGGGAAAAGGCCACACGAAGCAGCAGGAAATGCGGCTGGAAATGCGGGAGGAAATGCGGGAGGAAATGCGGGAGGAAATGCGGGAGGAAATGCGGGAGGAAATGCGGGAGGAAATGCAGGAGGAAATGCGGCTGGAAATGCGGGAGGAAATGCAGGAGGAAATGCGGCTGGAAATGCGGGAGGAAATGCAGGAGGAAATGCGGCTGGAAATGCGGCTGGAAATGCGGGAGGAAATGCGGGAGGAAATGCAGGAAGACCAGGGCTAGGAACGCTTCAAGAAGCAGCGAGACATGGGGCTCCGTGGTTCAGGCTGGTGGGAAGCTTTGGTGTGAAAGTCGACTATGCAGAAGCACGGACGGAGGTGCGTGCGTGGAAAGGGATGGCTTTTGATTCAGTGAGCTCTTGAGAATTCCCACTTAATGTGACCTCATCTCATGGTTCGTGGAAAGAAGCACGGACGGAGGCGTGTGGAAAGAGCGTCACGCCACGGCGACTTTTGAGTCGACTCATAAGAGCGTCACGCCACAGCCTTCAGCAACCCATCGCTGCACCCGTGCTCTCCGCCTGCTCTCCCCTTCATAAGATTTCCTTCCTGCAGCTGTTCCCCGAGCGCCACACAAGCAAGCCACACAAACAATGGCCTTTTCTGCGAGTTTTGAGTCGACTCAAAACTCGACTCTCCGCCTGCTCTCCCCTTCATAAGATTTCCTTGCCTGCAGCTGTTCCCCGAGCGCCACACGAGCAATGGCCTCTCCTGCGGTTCCTGCCTCTACTCTCGTTTCCTGCCTCTACTCTCGTTTCCTGCCTCTACTCTCTTTTCCTGCCTCTCCTGCAGTTCCTGCCTCTACTCTCGTTTCCTGCCTCTACTCTCGTTTCCTGCCTCTACTCTCGTTTCCTGCCTCTACTCTCTTTTCCTGCCTCTACTCTCGTTTTCTGCCTCTACTCTCGTTTCCTGCCTCTACTCTCTTTTCCTGCCTCTACTCTCGTTTCCTGCCTCTACTCTCTTTTCCTGCCTCTACTCTCTTTTCCTGCCTCTACTCTCTTTTCCTGCCTCTACTCTCGTTTCCTGCCGCTACTCTCTTTTCCTGCCTCTACTCTCTTTTCCTGCCTCTACTCTCTTTTCCTGCCTCTACTCTCTTTTCCTGCCGCTACTCTCCTTTCCTGCCTCTACTCTCTTTTCCTGCCTCTACTCTCTTTTCCTGCCTCTACTCTCTTTTCCTGCCTCTACTCTCGTTTCCTGCCGCTACTCTCTTTTCCTGCCGCTACTCTCTTTTCCTGCCTCACTAACCCATCGCTGGGCGTCGAGCCATGGCCTTCTCTTCCTGCGGCACCTGCCTCTATCTCGCTAACTGCTTCACTCTCTGCCCCCGTCCTTCTTCATGTCACCCTTTCAGGTGTTCCCCGAGCGCCAAGCCATGGCCTTCTCTTCCTGCGGCACCTGCCTCTATCTCGCTAACTGCTTCACTCTCTGCCCCCTTCCTTCTTCATGTCACCCTTTCAGGTGTTCCCCGAGCGCCAAGCCATGGCCTTCTCGCCCTGCGGCACCTGCCTCTATCTCGCTAACTGCTTCACTCTCTGCCCCCTTCCTTCTTCATATCACCCTTTCAGGTGTTCCCCGAGCGCCAAGCCATGGCCTTCTCGCCCTGCGGCACCTGCCTCTATCTCGCTAACTGCTTCACTCTCTGCCCCCTTCCTTCTTCATATCACCCTTTCAGGTGTTCCCCGAGCGCCAAGCCATGGCCTTCTCGCCCTGCGGCACCTGCCTCTATCTCGCTAACTGCTTCACTCTCTGCCCCCTTCCTTCTTCATATCACCCTTTCAGGTGTTCCCCGAGCGCCAAGCCATGGCCTTCTCGCCCTGCGGCACCTGCCTCTATCTCGCTAACTGCTTCACTCTCTGCCCCCGTCCTTCTTCATGTCACCCTTTCAGGTGTTCCCCGAGCGCCAAGCCATGGCCTTCTCTTCCTGCGGCACCTGCCTCTATCTCGCTAACTGCTTCACTCTCTGCCCCCTTCCTTCTTCATGTCACCCTTTCAGGTGTTCCCCGAGCGCCAAGCCATGGCCTTCTCGCCCTGCGGCACCTGCCTCTATCTCGCTAACTGCTTCACTCTCTGCCCCCTTCCTTCTTCATATGACCCTTTCAGGTGTTCCCCGAGCGCCAAGCCATGGCCTTCTCGCCCTGCGGCACCTGCCTCTATCTCGCTAACTGCTTCACTCTCTGCCCCCTTCCTTCTTCATATCACCCTTTCAGGTGTTCCCCGAGCGCCAAGCCATGGCCTTCTCGCCCTGCGGCACCTGCCTCTATCTCGCTAACTGCTTCACTCTCTGCCCCCTTCCTTCTTCATATCACCCTTTCAGGTGTTCCCCGAGCGCCAAGCCATGGCCTTCTCGCCCTGCGGCACCTGCCTCTATCTCGCTAACTGCTTCACTCTCTGCCCCCGTCCTTCTTCATGTCACCCTTTCAGGTGTTCCCCGAGCGCCAAGCCATGGCCTTCTCTTCCTGCGGCACCTGCCTCTATCTCGCTAACTGCTTCACTCTCTGCCCCCTTCCTTCTTCATGTCACCCTTTCAGGTGTTCCCCGAGCGCCAAGCCATGGCCTTCTCGCCCTGCGGCACCTGCCTCTATCTCGCTAACTGCTTCACTCTCTGCCCCCTTCCTTCTTCATATCACCCTTTCAGGTGTTCCCCGAGCGCCAAGCCATGGCCTTCTCGCCCTGCGGCACCTGCCTCTATCTCGCTAACTGCTTCACTCTCTGCCCCCTTCCTTCTTCATATCACCCTTTCAGGTGTTCCCCGAGCGCCAAGCCATGGCCTTCTCGCCCTGCGGGATCTGCCTCTATCTCGCTAACTGCTTCACTCTCTGACCCCTTCCTTCTTCATATCACCCTTTCAGGTGTTCGCCGAGCGCCAAGCCATGGCCTTCTCGCCCTGCGGCACCTGCCTCTGCTCTCCCTTCTCCTCCTCAGCTCAGTAACCCAGCCCTGCCCTAGACCCCCCTCCTCCCGTCCCGTCACACCACCCTCTGGCAGGTGTTCCCTGAGCGCCAAGCCATGGCCTTCTCTCCCTGCCGGTGCTGGTAACATGGTAACCCAGCCCTGCCCTACACCCCCCTCCTCCCGTCACATCACTCTCCACCAGGTGTTTCCCGAGCGCCAAGCCATGGCCTTCTCGCCCTGCGGCACCTGCCTCTACCTCGCTAATTGCTTCACCCTCTGCCAACCGTCAGAGCTTATAACGAAGCCTACTGAAGCAGCTGCATTCAGCGGCAACAGCAACAGCAACAGCAGCAGAAGCAGTAGCAAAAGAAACGGCAGCCACAGCAGCAGTGGCAGGAAGACAATCGTTTCTGGTGGTGTGACAGTAGTCGAGTTGAGCTTGGATATGGAAGCATCAAGAAATAGGGGATTTCAGTCCAATCTTCTGGAATTCCCTGCAGCACCCACCAGCAGCGCCTCGACCGCTGCTGCCCTCCGTTCGCCCCCTTCACTATCTACCTGCCTTCCACCGTTCCCCTCCCTCTCAAGCCTCTCACCGGCGGTTCCCAAGTGCCCACAGATGTGGGCTGTGGTGGTGGTGAGGAGGGGGAGGAACGACGGTGGGAAGGGCGTGGAAGATGAAACGAGTGGGGGGAAGGAGATGGGGAGGGGTGTGGAAGGGAAGGGTAGGGAGGGAGGAGGCATGGAGGGAGGAGGCATGGAGGGAGGAGGCATGGAGGGAGGAGGCATGGAGGGAGGAGGCATGGAGGGAGGAGGCATGGAGGGAGGAGGCATGGAGGGAGGAGGCATGGAGGGAGGAGGCATGGAGGGAGGAGGCATGGAGGGAGGAGGCACGGAGGGAGGAGGAGAGTGGGTGGTGGTGGCAGCAGGGGACGGTGGTGCTGCTTGCTGCTGGGTGATGGACAAGTATCGAAGGTGAGAGGGGCGCTCAGAGAGAAGGTGGGTTTATGTGAGGATTGGTGAGGGTTGGTGAGGGTACGTCAGGGTAGGTTGGGGTGGGTGAGGTTAAGGGACGGTGGTGCCGCTTGCAGCTGGGTGATGGACAAGCATGGAAGGTGAGAGGGGCGGTGAGGGGTGACGTAAACTGGGTTTTATAGAAAATGTGGGGGTAATTGCGTGTAGGTGAAGGAAGGGGATGGTGGTGCTGCTTGCTGCTGGGTGATGGACAGGCATGGGAGGTGAGAGGGACACATACAGGGAGGTTGGGATCAGGTGGGGGTAGGTGGGGGTAGGTGGGGGTAGGTGGGGGTAGGCAAGATCCATTTTAAAGAAGACAATGTTGTTTTACAATAGGGGACACAGAACCCCTTTTACTGGGGGTAGGTGGGGGTAGGTGAGGTGAGGGTAGGTACACATAGGGGATGGTGGTGCTACGTGCTGCTGGGAGATGGACAGGCATGGAAGGTGAGAGAGGATGTGAGGGGAAGCAAGAGGAGAGGGGAGGTGAGCCCCTCACACACACTCGTCCCCCATTGTACTGTACATTTAGCAGTATTGTACCCTTTCCTCTAAGCTGTGTGCTTTGACTCTCCCCACAACTTTGTCACAGGTCGCCCCTGGCCAGATACCACCTCCCCCCGGCCTGCTACAGAAGCCAACCCTTCCTTTCACCGAGTCATCTCCCTGGCTGCTGTGCTCCCTCATACACTCAATTCTTGATGCATCATACGTTGTTTATAGTGCCTTTTGTCCACCCCTCAACCCGTCTCACAGGTCGCCCCTGGCCAGATATCACCTCCCCCCGGCGTGCTACAGGAGCCACCCCTTCCACAGACTCATCTCCCTGGCTGCTGTGTTACCCTCACCACACATGCTGTTCTCCACACCCCACCTGTGTTCCTTGTGTTACAGGTCGCCCCTGTCCAGATACCACCTCCCCCCGGCCTGCTACAGGAGCCACCCCTTCCACCAAGTCATCTCCCTGGCTGCTGTGCCGCACCGGCCTGGATGGGTTCTGGGGTGCTCCTACGGCGGTTCTGTTGCTCTTTGGTGAGTCAACCTGAGTCAACACAAGTCAGAAACGGTCGTCTCCTTGGCTGCTGTGCCGCACCGGCCTGGATGGGTTCTGGGGTGCTCCTACGGCGGTTCTGTTGCCCTCTGGTGAGTGAGAGAACTTTAAAAGGTCAACACCAGTCAACTGAGTCAATCCAATCAAGCCCACCCCTTTCACCGAGTCATCTCGCTGGCTGCTGTGCCCCACCGGCCTGGATGGGTGCTTGGCTGCTCCTATGGTGGCTCAATTGCTCTCTGGTAAGTCAACACCAGTCAACACGAGTCAACACGGGTCAACACGGGTCAACACGGGTCAACACATTCATACCCACCCCTTCCACCGGGTCATATCCGTGGTTGCTGTATCCCGCTGGCCTGATGGGTGCTTGGCTGTTCTCACGGCGGCTCAGTTGCCCTCTGGTGAGTCAACACGAGTCATACCCCATCCACTCTCACCCCCCATCCACTCTCACCCCCAATCCACTCTCACCCCCAATCCACTCTCACCCCCCATCCACTCTCACCCCCCATCCACTCTCACCCCCCATCCACTCTCACCCCCCATCCACTCTCCTCTCCGCTTGGCCCCTTCCTCCCTCACAGGGATGTGGATTGCCGTTTGCTGCTGAGTGTATGACACAGCCTCTCATCACACTCCATTCCCAAAAGTCACCAGAGCTACATACACCCAAGCCCCATCCACTCGCATGCCAATCTACCCTCAAACCCCCTCCGTCCACTCACAGGGATGTGGATTGCCGTTTTCTGCTGAGTGTATGACACAGCCTCTCATCACACTCCATTTTCGCCCTGCACGTCTGCCCTCTCCCCTCTGAAGCGGATACCCCTTTTTGTGGCAGTTCCTGATGTGTAAACACCCTTACTGTATTCACACTCACCCCCCCTCCCTCCACACACAGGGATGTGCATCGTCGTGTGCTGCTGACTGCATGGCACAGCCTTGCACACTCCATTCTCATAAGTCACTGATGCCGCTCACACCCACGTCCCATCCACACTTTTCTTCTTGCCCCTCTCCTCCATACACAGGGATGTGCATCGCCGTGTGCTGCTGACTGCATGGCACAGCCTCGCACACTCCATTCTCAGCCTGCACGTCTGCCCTCTCCCATCTGCTCCTGCTGCTGCTGGTTCTGCTGGTGCTGCTGCTGCCGTTGGTGGTTCTGCTGGTGCTGCTGCTGCCGGTGGTGGTTCTGCTGGTGCTGCTGCTGCCGGTGGTGGTTCTGCTGGCGCTGTTGCTGCTCGTGATGAAAACGCTCTAGTGTTGGGGAAGCAAGCAGAGAAGGAAGGGCTTGGGGGGATAGATGGGCTGGAATTGCTGCTGTTGCTGGAAACAGGGGAAAGGGCGGACAGCTGGCAAAACGACGCAAATGAGCAGCAAAACATGATGCCTGAAGAAGAGTGCAAGTTCACAGTATCAACAGCGATTGTGGGGGACAATCAACAGAGGGTGGTGGTGCGGGCGCCATACTTACAATCTGGCGCACACAGGCTGGCGTTTCTGAGTAGCAAGGCGATGGTGGTGGGGCGGAGCATAGCGGACAGGTGAGCACTGAGGCACCTGGCATGGGTGGGATGCGGTGTAAAGGTCTGCAATAGGGTTTGGTGTAGCACAGGGTGGTGGTGTGAGCACCCACTGCTGCAGAGAGCAAGCCGAGTCACCAGTTGGTGTTTCTGAGTGGCGAGATGGTATTGGTGGGAAGGAGCATAGCGCACAGGTGAGCACTGGTTGGAATGTGGTATGAAGGTGAGCACTGGTTGGAATGTGGTATGAAGGTGAGCAGTGGTTGGAATGTGGTATGAAGGTGAGCACTGGTTGGAATGTGGTATGAAGGTGAGCACTGGCTGGAATGTGGTATGAAGGTGAGCACTGGTTGGAATGTGGTATGAAGGTGAGCACTGGTTGGAATGTGGTATGAAGGTGAGCACTGGTTGGAATGTGGTATGAAGGTGAGCACTGGTTGGAATGTGGTATGAAGGTGAGCACTGGTTGGAATGTGGTATGAAGGTGAGCACTGGTTGGAATGTGGTATGAAGGTGAGCACTGGTTGGAATGTGGTATGAAGGTGAGCACTGGTTGGAATGTGGTATGAAGGTGAGCACTGGTTGGAATGTGGTATGAAGGTGAGCACTGGTTGGAATGTGGTATGAAGGTGAGCACTGGTTGGAATGTGGTATGAAGGTGAGCACTGGTTGGAATGTGGTATGAAGGTGAGCACTGGTTGGAATGTGGTATGAAGGTGAGCAGTACGTGGTGGTGCGGGTGCCACAGCTGCAGCCAAAGTCAGGTGGGCACAGGCTGGCGTTTTTTGAGTGGCAAGGAAATGGTATTGGTGGGATGGAGCATAGCAGACAGGTGAGCACTGAGCTGACCCGCATGGGTGGAATGCGGTATCAAGATGTGCAGTACAATCTGTTGTTAGCAAGGGTGGTAGTACGGGCACCACAGCCACAGCCACAGGCAGGCGGACACAGGGTGGCGTTTCTGAGTGCCTAAGGGATGGCGGTGGGGCGGAGCATAGTGGACAGGTGAGCACTGAGCTGAGTGGGATACGGTATGAAGGTTTGCAGTAAGGTTTGGTGCTACACAGGGTGGTGGTGAGGGCACCACAGCTACAGCCACAGGCAGGCGCAAACAGGCTGGCGTTTCTGAGTGCCAAGGCGATGGTGGTGGGGCGGAGTATAGCAGACACGTGAGCATTGAGCTGAGTGGGATACGGTATGAAGGTTTGCAGTAAGGTTTGGTGCTACACAGGGTGGTGGTGAGAGCACCACAGCCACAGTCAGGCGGACTCAGGCAGGCGTTTCTGAGTGCCAAGGAGATGGTGGTGGGGCGGAGTGTAGCGGACAGGTGAGACCATGGTGAGAATCGGTGTAAAGGTGTGTGGTAAGGTTTGGTGATACACAGTGTGGTGGTGCGAGCACGCACAGACAAATCCACACCCACACTCTGGCGGACACCCACTAGTGTTTGTGAGAATTCTCAAAAACCAGCGCGGACACCCACTAGTGGGGTTGACTTAGAGTTGACTCAAAAGTCAACACACCACACTCTGGCGGACACCCACTAGTGTTTGTGAGAGCCAATGAGGTGGTGGGGTGGGGAGGGGCATAGCGGACAGGTGAGCACTGAGCTGACCCGCATTGCATGGGTGGGATGCGGTATGAAGGTGTGCAGCCACTCTCCCATCACTCAGGGAAGCACCATATACCGGTACTGACCTCCCACATTCCCCCCTTCCCTTCATTCATCCCCTTGCTCCCAACCCTGCACCATTTTCTCGCAGGCATATCGTGGAACAGCTACTGTCGGGGACTCAAGTGGTGCCATCTCATCTCAACGTTCCTCATCCTCTCTCATTCTCCCTGTCCCTTCATCCATCCCCTTGCCCCCAACCCTGCACCATTTTCTCGCAGCCATCTTGTAGAGCAGCTACTGTCGGGGACTCAAAGAAGCACTATCTACTGACGTATCTCACTCTGTACTGCAATGAATGTTTATATGGTGTGCACATGTATTTCTATGATGTCAAATGATTTTGTGTATTCTATGGACTGGTTAATACATTTATAATATCGGCTAAATGGGGAAACTTGGCCACCAGATCCGCTCTATTAGCCAACTCGAAATCTGCAAACTCAAAAGCAGGAGCTACAGTGCATCCAACCAGACTGTACTGTGTATCTGCTGAACCCGCATCTCGAGCCGTTCGATTCAGCGCAGCATCGAAATCAAGGGTGGGGAACGCCCCGAACCAGACGCTGGGTTTGATGATGTGATGAAAGGATTGGCCGGCTGCTAGGTCTGGGCCGATGGTGGTCTTGCGGATCGACCCATCGTCTTCAATCTCCACAATCTGGAGGGAATGGGGGAGAGGAAGGGAGTTACAAAGACAAGGAGGAGTCAGACGTCTTGATGGGACAATGTGGTGGAAGGGTTGGCCGGCTGCTAGGTCTGGGCCGATAGTGGTCTTACGGATCGACCCATTGTCTTCAATCTCCACAATCTGGAAGAAAAAGGAACAGGATAAAAAAGTAGGGAAGAGGGGAAGGCGGAAGAGGAAGAGACGGGAGGAGGAGGGACATATTGGGCCACTGTGGAATTTTGAATCAGCAATATTGAATTTACTTGTAAGTGACAGGAGAGCAGAGGGGAGGGAGGAGAGCAGAGGGGACGAAGAGAGGAGATTAGCATGAGACAAGTGACGGAGGGGGTAGAGGGGAGGAACGGAGGAGAGGAGGGGAGAATGGGAGGGTGGGTAGAGGGAGAGAGGGGAAGAAAAGGGGGGCTAACCGGGAGTGGATCGCCGGCGTAGTGGTGAAGCTAGTTGATTCAGCTTGAGGGGGGTAGGAGGGGGGTGGGAGGGGGGTAGGAGGGGGGTAGGAGGGGGGTGGGAGGGGGGTAGGAGGGGGGTAGGAGGGGGGTGGAGGGGGGTAGGAGGGGGGTGGGAGGGGGGTAGAGGAGAAGAGGGGGGCTAACCGTGAGTGGATCGCCGGCGTAGTGGTGGAAGATTTCAGAGGAGGGCATGCGATGGAGGTGAGACACGCTGCCCGTGGGCAGAAGAAAATAAATGCAGGTGCTGACCGGCCTTGCCACCTTGACTGCACAATGAAACGAGTGCGATAGGGAGGGGAGAAAAGAAGGGGGAGGGGTGGGGAGGGGGAAGGGGATGCGATCCAGTGTGATGCCTCTGCAAGATGCGAGAATGGAGGTATCATGGTGCATCATGGTGTGTATCATGGTGTGAGCGCATCATCATGGTGTGAGCGCATCGTCATGGTGTGAGCGCATCATCATGGTGTGAGCGCATCATCATGGTGTGAGTGCATCATTGTGCGAGCGCATCATGGTGTGAGCGCATCATGGTGCGTATGCGCGAGCCAGTGTGATGCCACTACATGTGTCACTATCTGCAGATAACACCCTCCCTTCCTCACTACTTGCTATTGGAACCCTCCACTTGAAACGAGCGGGTTACC